TACTTTATTGTTCTCAGTGGCATCTTCGCTAATATTAGATTGTCTCATTCTTATTCCGAGGTCACCGTACCCACACAGATCCAGTTTGTATCCAGATCAGATGGTCACTGCAGTCACCCGGATCCAGTCCGTATGTAGTCCAGATAGTGGATCAGCACCTAGAGACGACCTCGACAGCCCTGAATGTCAGAAGAGCCAATGACAACTAGATGAGCCCCAGAGACAGATCCCCTCTGAAGACCTCGTCACCTAGACGGCCATCGGGACAAGACCACAGGAACCAGACCAGTCCTCTGCACAATCTGACTTTTCTGAAGTCTGCAATTAAACTGCTATTTTCATCTGGCCAGAGAAAAACGATGGAGTTTTGGTTCCTTCTACACATGATTTTTCTGTTTAATACTGTAAAGCTGCTTTGATACAATCTGTATTGTAAAAAGAGCTATATAAATACAGTGACTGGACTTTACTTGACTCAGTTCAGTTGAACGGTAATGCCTGGTTAATTTTTTTTTCTGACTTCTGCCTCAATTTAAAGACGTAATTGTGAACAGTAGTAATATTTGTAAATGTTTGTTTACAAACATTTTGTTTAACTTGTTTAGTCTTTTTTTAAGTTAATTAAGCAAATGTTTAAAATAAATTTTGCAGTTGTATTACAAATGTAATGTTTGACAACTGGAGAACTTTAATGGGATAGTTCACCCAAAAATGAAAATTTGCTATTATTTTACTGACCCTCAGGCCATCCCAGATGTCAGTGACTTTTTTCTTCAGTAGAACAGTAAAGAAGATGTTTTTGTTATCTGAAACAGTGAACCTTGGCGATTCATACACTGTGGCTGCTGCTTTTTGATTGTTTAGCTTCATAAGACCTCAATGTGTCCTCAGGAGCCTTTGATAATTTGGTCTGTACATGTTTATTTGATTCTCAAAAGCTGGCAGCCAGGGACGTGAAGTTTATGAATTGCCAAAGACAATGGTTTTCACCTAAAAATCTCATTTACTGTTCAGTGGAAGAAAAAAAGAGGGAGGGAGGGGAGAGGGGAAGAGGGGAAGAGGGAGGGAGGGGGACGGACAGACGGACGGACAGACTGAGGATTCGTGGGTGGAAGACTGTTGCCTGTGGACTTGAGAATCGCCGAAGTGCTGTATAGTTCTGTTTATTTGAAACGACGGAGCACCTGCCTGTTTTGTTATTTTGAGTCAATTGAATAAATTACCACGAGCCTCATTCACACCGACTCCGACTTCTTCCTTCCTTCCCTCGAACTTTGTTACACTTATGATGCCCAAATAATAAATCTTTGTTGAGGTAACATATGAAATACATAGAGTAAATGGTTGAATTTTAATTGACTCAATTTGCTGTAGATTTCTAAATGTTTGACCAATTAAAACATTTTAGTTGAATGGACTATAAAACAATTTCTACTATTAGTAAATGTTGAGCCAACTAAAAAAAATAAACATTCAGGCAACACTTTGAAGACAGAAATTGACTGAACGTAAAATTTACGTGGAACTAGTTACTAAATAATAATTAGTTGAAACTGCTTGATTTTTTTACAGTGCGTGTGTATATATATATATACAGTGGGTACGGAAAGTATTCAGACCCCCTTAAATTTTTCACTCTTTGTTATATTGCAGCCATTTGCTAAAATCATTTAAGTTGATTTTGTTTCCTCATTAATGTACACACAGCACCCCATATTGACAGAAAAACACAGAATTGTTGACATTTTTGCAGATTTATTAAAAAAGAAAAACTGAAATATCACATGGTCCTAAGTATTCAGACCGGGGGGGGGGGGGGGGGGGGGGGATCAATGTTGATGATCCCCCTCCCCCCAAAAATTATCATTATATGAAACTAATATTAATTATGAAAATGTAAACTGATAATTACCTGTATTAACTAAATTTTAATGAATGGAATTTGATTCAATTTATTTTCTTTATACTGAAATAAAGTCGTCAGCAACTTCCGGTTCACACAGATTTTAATGTATTGTCTTAATTATAAACACACTGGTTCATAGCACAGTTTTGCTGTTTACTGGCTTTTGATATTCTTCTCGTTATTTCCTTATAATGGCTAAGGAATCAGAAGTCTTGCACATTCACAGAAAACAGCTTACTTCCACATTGAAAAATAGGGTGGATAGACTAACCGCTGCATTATTTTCTTCCTGATTATTTTCATGTTTCCTTTGTATTCTGCTGTAAGTGAATAAAAAAAAAAAGGACAACATATACCGTGCATATGTTTGCTTTCTCGATTTAATTTACGATATAAACCATGAATAATTCCTGGTATGATTCTTCCATTTTTCTCCCTGAAACCTTGTGTCTCTTTGCAGGTTTTTTTTTTTCAGATGGATGCAGTAAAATTGTAATTGTTATGAAACAAAGACATATATTACTATAACGATATTTAACACATCTGTAATATTGCTGCGGATAGAAGGAGGATCTTTAGGACTTATTGATGGTATGTTGAAAGAAATCTGTTATTGCTTTTACACTTTTAAATTTCCTTTTAATGATCAATGGTTGAAAGGTGAGTAAAATGTCACCTCATTGTACCCAGTTTTTAAAAATGCTTATTAATGCATGCATAGTGAAACTTTTGCTAATTGTTTACAGTGTAAATGGAAGTTAATCCCATAATTTGTGCAAAGCATCATGGGGTGTAGAAAAAAAGGTGGATAGAAGGTTAAATAACAAATGAAATCGTGATTGTTTTATAAAAAGTAAAACTCTCTATTTTCTTCAGAGATGTCATGTGTTGACTTGTATGTGAAACCTCTATGGTATTTTTTGAGCTTGCTTTATTCATTGATTGATTGATTCATTCATTCATTCCACAGAGGAAGGAAAATCCGTACGGGTTTGGAATGGCATCATGAGGGTGAATAAATCATAACCGAATGTTCACTTTAGCAAAATGCATCAGCAGAACTGTTCTTTTACAGATTATATAAATTCAGAGAAAGGCTGCTGTGCACAGATTTAATTTTAAAGATTTAAGCGTCGCAGAGGACTCCTCACTGACTTGTGGCACATGCATGGTGAATCATTGTAATGGGGTAATATTGTGTGTACAGTAATCCTACATCAAGTGTCTCTGAGCTTGTGATAGAATAAGTGAATCTCAGACCAAGAGTTACAAATGAGAAATCTCACTGTTCAGGTGACTCACAGAAAATTGAAAACTCAGTGTTGGCTGACGAGACTATTCTTGAATGTTTGTTTTCAGAGTTAATGTGTTTGCAGAATGTTACTCTTGTGTTTGCATTTGTTCATGCATTTGGAAGATGCTTTTTCCCCCAAAGTGACTAGTGTTGCGTCTAAGGTATTCATTTTATCAGTTCATGAAGCCATGGCCCATTGCTGGTTCCATGATTCACTGTTTGTGCTACAAAAATATTTGCATTTCAAATCGCCGGCCAATTTTATCACACCTGTTCAATTGCTCGTTAAGGAAAATATCTAATCACATGGTAGCAACTGAGCTGTGTCCTAATTTGAAGGCTGCACTCTCAGTAATGTTTGTACTCAGTGCTTGAAGGGGAAAAAAAGAAGTGCCAGTACTCAGCCCCCCCTATTTTTTTTTTTATTATATTAAAGAAGTACTTATTAATTTTCATAATGCACAATGTAGGCTATGCGTAGTGCCACAATCAATCCATAATTAAATAAACGTTTTCCAAATAAGCACAAGTCAAGCTGCGATACCAAACAGGACCACAGTGAGATGCCAAAGATGACTAAACCTCTTGCCTTGACCTGACTGGATACATTCAGAATCGCTAAACGTCTTACCACCGCATAACACCTCAGCCAGCCAGCGTACATTATAAAACATTTTTGCTTTTAGGCCAAATAAACAATGAAAAGAATAATGTAATGACATCTGGACGTGAGTCACTATTCTCTCCACAATCTCTGATGAAATCGGCCATATTCTCTGCATTAGCTCTGTTTTGTCCAACTGTTTGAATTCACTTACTGGATCCTCCTTGGAGTTCATCGGTTTACATTTATGATCGCAAAAACCTGCTTCTTTTCATTTTTAAGGTATTGTTTTCGTTATAATGAACTGATTAATGGTCCATTTAAGTCTTGTCTTGTCTAAGTCTTGAATGCAGCCTCTGAAATGGGATGCAGCTATGGTTAAGACCATCAATGTCTGTCCTTCTGGCTTCGACCTTCCTCGACGACACTGGTCAATGCTGAACCAGTTTTGGACGGGCCAAGGTCGATGTGCAGTCAACCTTGTCCGGTGGGGCCAAGCCACTAATCCGAACTGCAGTTGTGGAGTAACCTGAAACCATGCAGCACATTGTCAATGAGTGTCCGCTGACTTATTTCAACGGCGGACTCGAGGCTCTACATCTGGCTGAAAAAGATGCTGTTCTGTGGCTGGGCACGCAATGCAAACGCTAAGAAAGAGAAGAAAGAACTCATTCAAATTAGTAATTAATTATTATTCTACTTCTCTTGACATGCTCTTGCACCTCACACAATTTGGCAGAAAGGATTAGTAGCCTGAAACAGGACAGCGCCTAAACATCCTCACATTATATTATTTAATGGAAAATTCCTATAAATTATCCATCTTTCTAAAGAAGTTGACGCAAACATATGGGTTTATCAATGTTTTTATATTGTGTTATATGTGTATGCCTTTGGACTTAAATGGACTGAGTTGTTTTATGCATTTTTGTGGAGCAGCCGCGAATGAACAAGTATGTGTTTTCTAATTTTATGTGAAATAATTAAACACATTAGTTTAGCATCACTAATGCGCACTTCTGACACAAAGTAATAAACTACGATCACTGTAACTTTTTTAATTGTAAATCATTGGTAAAATATCGATGCTGGAGACTTTTTAAAACTTTATAAGTGTGGCCCGGGATATGAATTTGTGACACCGGACACAGGATGAAAAATTTAAATGGATCTTTTATTCCAGACTGCACTTGGAACAGCGCAGCATTAAGTATGCAAATTTTGGGGGATCGGGACAGAAAGATTACAACTTAAATACGGCCATTGAGAACAATAAAGTTTGATCTCACAACAAAATGAGTGTGCCTCTTTTTCCCCACATTCACAATAACCAGCTAACATAGACAACGGTAGTAGCCTTTCATGCTGGAAAACAAATACACATAAGTGTAACAGCCATCAACAAATCAAAGTTGTCAAACCAAATAAGGCTACTCAAATTACACAAAAAGTACATGAAAAGGGAAATTAGAAGTTGCATTTTTGGGTATCCTTAATACATTACAAACACTCTTGCACAATTTAACACTCAGTCAACCTTACATTAGTAAATGAATACTCATAGGACTTCCAAAATGAATTTGATTATTCAAACTTACAGCTCATCACCACTCTAGCACATGTACACGTTAACACGGCCAATGCAGACTCGATTTCCCTCTGCAGATGGTAAAGGGACAAAATGCAAACCTTTTCCTTAACATTTGGAACACATGATGTTAGAACAATAATACCATTACACTCGTTCCAATGAAACACTGATAAACACTTTGACAATCAATAAAAGTGAACAACACTCACTTGAATGCTTTACACTCGCACCGGAAATACAAAGGGTCTATGGAGCACTTTTCTCCCCTCTAAACAAAATAAAGCTCGTTCTCATAACTGTTTCAATAACACTGGTTTGCATTAAATTATGCATAAATGAAGTTTCTTTTAACAGTACACTGATACAAATTATATCATCAACACTTACGCTTTGGTGAGAAACGGTTAGCTCCCCCACACGGACATGTTCGTCAGCAATGCTCGATAACATTCACCCCACACTGATAACTGGCGCTGCTCATCCGCAGCTCTCGCGGCACTTCACAACACTCCTGCAGCCGTGTTTCTTAAAGGGCCAGCATAACATTAGGGAAACCAATGAGAAAGATCATGAAACACGCTCTATGTGCAGTACATTCAAACCAGAGTGTAACAAAACAGGCTTATGTGTGACACAACAACTTTTCAACCTGGTTACATAAGGATGAAACTTCTGTCAAGTTAATTTTGCGATAGTTTTCATTCATTTCCCCCTCACTGGTGAAATGATGCTGTGTGCCTTTTGCTTCAGAAAGGCATCTTAAGGGCGGGTTTTAGAGTAGCGCTGGTCCGACAGCGGAAGCGCAACATTGGCCCCGCCCAGCTTGTTAGGCCTGGTTAGCACTGGCCAGACAGTGAAAAAGCGACAACCCCTGCGGTAGTCAGACCGACTCCGCTTGCATTCATTCACGCGATTTGACGAGATGAGAGGTGACCCTTCCTGGTACTGTGATTTATATACTGTTATTTCACCAGACACTGACGCGTTGACTCTGAGTACCGGCAACATGTCAGAAGTGCCAGTACGCTAAAGACTAAAATACAGAAGTGCCGGTACTGCGTACCGGTGCATACCAGCCCACTTCAAGCACTGTTTGTACTGGACTTTTTTAAAAGTGAAATTCAACCATCTGAAAACGCACAACCTCTTTAAATATGCTTACCTTGGCCCATTTATATAAATAATAACAAGTATAAAGCGTCTATAAAATCACTTCTCAGTAAGATATGTCAACATTTAAACCGCTTTAAAGTCGTTGCTGTTTTTTTTTGTTTCTCTCTCACATTTGCATCTTTCGATATTCGAGTAAGCTGTAACCTAATATTTGCATTTAAAAGTGTAATCTGACATTTTCTCTCTCTCTTTCTCTCTCTCTCTCTCAAAAAAAAATACAAATCCTGTCTCCATCTGTGAGCAATGAACTATCTTATCAGGTACCACGGACACAACCGCATCTAGTCTAGCCACAGTTGTTCTTCCTGAGTCTAGTCAAGTCACAGTTGTTATTCCTGAGTTCAGTCAAGTCACAGCTGATCGTCATGAGTCCAGTCAGGTTCCAGTTCATTATCATGAGTCAAGTTTAGTCACAGCTGATATGCATGAGTCTAGTCAAGTCACAGTTCATGATCATGAGTCTAGTCTAGTCACAGTTGTTCATCCTGAGTCTCGTCGAGTCACAACTGATATTCATGAGTCTCGTCAAGTCACAACTGATATTCATGAGTCTTGTCAAGTCACAACTGATCGTCATGAGGCAAGTCAGGTCACAGTTGATCTTCCTCAGTCAGGTCTAGTCACAGTTGATCTTCATGAGTCTAGTCAAGTCACAGTTGTTCTTCCTGAGTCAAGTCAAGTCATAGCTGATCTTCATGAGTCCAGTCAAGTCGCAGCTGATCTGCCAGAGCCTCATTATGTCTCAGCTGTTCATCCAGAGCCTCGTCACGCCTCAGTTATTCATCCAGAATCTCGTTGCATCACAGCTGATCATCCAGAGTCATGTCACGTCCTGTCTGTCACACCCAGATTCTCAAGGTCAGCCCTTCGGTATCC